ATTGCAACTGTAGGTAACAAAGGTGTATCAAAACCCCAAGTTAATTCTACCGGTCTGTCTTTTCCCACCTGTTTACTTTCTCAAAGTCAATCTAATTTGTCACATGCATGGGTAATAGACAGCGGGGCTACGGATCATATAACCAATTCCTGTAAGCTTTTGACCAATATATCATCACCATCCATGCCTCCTGTAGGATTGCCCACTGGTGCTAAGGCCCCTATACAATCAACAGGCACAATCACTTTTGATTCTCATTTACATCTTACGGATGTTCTTTGTGTTCCATCATTTAATGTTAACTTGATGTCTGTTAGCAAACTCACAAATGCACTTAACTGTTGTGTTGTTTTTTTCCCTCAACATTGCATTATGCAGGATTTGGACACGAAGAGGACGATTGGATTGGGTAGGCGACATGGTGATCTCTATTACTTTCACCCACCACCATCACCAACCTCACATCATGTGTCCACTCCGCCAAATCTTTGGCATATGTGGTTGGGACATCCCTCTGATGCTCGTCTCCGCCTTCTAGCTACAAAAAATTTTGATATTTCATTTTCTAATAAACCATGTGATTTTTGTCCCTTGGCTAAACAAACAAGACTCCCATTTACTTTGAGTTCGATTACTAGCACTGCACCATTTGATTTAATTCATTGTGACATTTGGGGTCCGCACAAAGTTTCTTCTCATTCTGGAGCAAAATATTTTTTAACTATTGTTGATGATTTTACGCGTTGCACTTGGGTTTATTTGATGCATTACAAATCTGATACTTAAGGTCTGCTTAAATCTTTTTTTGTCTTTGTCTCCACCCAATTTAATTGTAAAATCAAAGCAGTACGTGTAGACAATGGTGGTGAATTTTATTCTATGCGAGACTTTTTTGCAGATCTTGGAGTCATTTATCAACATTCATGCGTTGCTACTCCTCAACAAAATGGGGTCGTAGAACGTAAACATCGTCACATTTTGGAAATGGCTCGAGCCCTTCGGTTTCATGCACATCTTCCTCTTAATTTTTGGGGCGAATGTGTTCTCACCGCTGCCTATTTAATTAATCGCATTCCCACACCACTTTTATCTGGTAAATCTCCATATGAACTTTTGTTTAATCGTCCACCCATCTATAAACATCTTCGTGTTTTTGGTTGTCTATGCTATGCCACTAATATTCATCCTTCTCATAAATTTGATCAACGAGCACGTAAATGCATTTTTATGGGCTATCCTTTTGGTCAAAAAGCTTATCGTGTTTATGATTTAGAAACTAAAATTTTTTTTAGCAGCCGTGATGTTGTCTTCCATGAGATTATTTTTCCTTTTGCTAATGCTAGCACCACTCCAGTCCCGAATGCTCATGTTCTCCCTTTACCTCAACCTGATTATATGCCCATACCAATGCCGCACACAACAACTCAGCCACCTAGCTCACCACCCATCCAATCACATTCCAGTTCAGCTCCAACACTAATCAGCACATGCCCCCAATCAAGCATGAACTCAGAAACTAGCCCACCATCAATCTCAGAACCTACCCCACAGTCAAGCACAATCTCAGAACCTACCTCACAATCAAGCACAATCTCAGAACCTACCTCACAGTCACCACCTAACGCACTGCTACATAACTCAACCCCACCACTTCCTCCTAGACGCTCAGAACGAATAAGACAACCTTCTGTTTTACTTCGTGATTTTCATTGCTATAACGCCATGTCTCCTCACTCCAATTCGTTGCCTACTTCGGATCCACCTACTGCACAAGGTACAGGCTCTCGTTACCCCATTTCGAAATTTCTTACCTATAATCGTTTATCTCCTACTCACCATTGTTTTGTAGCAACTATCTCACGTGATGTTGAGCCCACTACATTTGCCCAAGCTTCAACAGATCCTAGATGGCGAGAAGCCATGAACATGGAAATTCAGGCGCTTGAACAAAATAATACTTGGTCTCTCACAACTTTACCTGCAGGAAAACACCCAATTGGTTGTAAATGGGTGTACAAAATTAAGTATAACTCAGACGGCTCCATTGAGCGTTATAAGGCTCGTCTCGTGGCCAAAGGATACACACAACAAGAAGGCTTGGACTATACAGAGACCAAGGTCTTAAATATCGGAGGTATCGGAAATATCGGAAGTCAAAAAACACGGAAATATCGCAGGAAATATCGGGATATTATCGGTATCGGAAAAAATTGAATAAAAACCACGGAAATTGTAAGAAAAACTTGGAAATTTTTATTGAAACTTTGCAGGATGTTTATTTAGTCAATTATCTATTAGTTTATCACAAAAAATTGGAAGGAAATGCATTGCATGATGGATTTAACTAATTTAAGTTGATTATATAGCAAGCTGGCAAACACCGTAAGTATAGAAAATATGTAGTAATTAATGAAAGATTATCGGTATCGGAAAAAATTGAATAAAAACCACGGAAATTGTAAGAAAAACTTGGAAATTTTTATTGAAACTTTGCAGGATGTTTATTTAGTCAATTATCTATTAGTTTATCACAAAAAATTGGAAGAAAATGAATTGCATGATGGATTTAAGTTGATTATATAGCGAGCTGGCAAACACCGTAAGTGTAGAAAATATGTAGTAATTAATGAAAGAAGATTAAACACACCATAATCATTTATATATAATGAATTACTACAATATTTTACACTTTATACATTGCATGGTAAGATAGATGAATGACTTAGTACCACATAGAGTTCCTATGAGGTTCAAAATTTTCACTATCTTCATCATCTCTATGTGTAGAGTAAGTATATTTTGAAGAGTAGTCATCAAATGATAAATCCCCAAAATAATTTTGCATGTAATTGTTAACATGCCACCCATATGGATCCGAGATTGGTTGACGTTGTCCATAAGCAAAATCATTTGAAGATTGAGTCTCGGATTCTTTCCATGAGTCGCTTGATTCCATCCCAACAGGAATGGGATATGAAG